GGGTGAAGGGAGGAGGGGAAAGGAAACGTACGTTTTTGCCTATTACGCCGAGGCAGGCTATTGATGGTATTGTTGCCATATTGTAGAGTGGTGTGTGTGGAAGTGGAAGTGGAATTGAGGGGAGTGGTCGTTTGGATGTTGAGAGCAGCCGAAGGCTTGGGATCATCGGCGAGGCTGAGAAGTCTCTAGATAAATTTCACATGTAGAACTTAATGGATATTATGTACGTTCCACTTGGTGTTCCAAGAATAGTATTGAGTATTTATGAGTCCTGTCATGTTTCCCCATAACCTTGGGTGTTTAATGATTCCTTATATATTTCCCAGCCTCGTAGCCTTGCCATATTGACAGTAGGTCAGTTAGTGTGTTAGCCCCCAAGACTTTCTCTAGGTCTCATCTCAACCAGTTCAATGCTGATTCCTGTCAACAACTTTTCCCATGCCCAGACTCTCCTATCCTAATTCCTCAATCTCCTCATCACTCCATGCCTCCGTCTCATCTAGAGCTCTGAGCACCTCTTCGATCTCTTTGGGATCACTAATTCCCCAAACACCACCACCCTTCACTGTATCCTTTCCCCGCATTCCAACTTCTTTTCCCACAAGATTTCTCCCCACTTTACCAGGTCCAACGCCAATCCAGCGCCGTACCTTTTCCTCCTGATCCAAATACTTGATAGAATCCCACCACCTCACAGTTTCCACGCATTGCCTTGCCAAAAGTTCCTTCAACTGTTTTTTACTCTCGAACGGCCTCGCATTAACATTACTCACGCATTCCAGCACCCCTGGAAAAGTCACAATATCCTCGTTCTCCCTCCCCTTAACCCTACTCTTCCCTTCCAACAATCCCCGCATGAGCTCCGCCGCAGGCCTCATCAGTGGGCTATGGAAAGGACTGTCACTCTTCAATCTGACCGCCCTCGGATCATGTCCCCCAAACTGCCTAACATGCGTCAACAGCATTTGGATCCTCTCAATATTCCCACTCAACACAATCTGATTTTTGCTATTCTCATTCGCAATCAGTACCTGCTGAATAGCCGGCACGTCTTGCGCGCTGTCTGATTCCGAGCCCGCGGAATTGTGCCCTAGGAACTCGTGTATTGATTCGACTAGGGGGAGCAGGTGACCGGTCTCCGTCACTAGAGCTACCATCCCGTATTCGCCGCCGTGCTCGGCGCATGTCCGCCGTGAACATTCGGCCATTGCTTCTGCTCGTTTGCGGACTAGGTATAGACTGTCTTCAAAGGAGACGAAACCGCCCGCTACAAGAGCAGCAAATTCGCCCAATGAATGCCCAAGTGTGACATCCACTCTTTCTGCTGGTCTAAATCCGAATTCCTTTTCCATTATTCGCAGTATGAGAATAGAGGAGGCCATGATGGCGGGCTGGGCGTTTGCTGTAGCTGTAAGGGTACTATTGGGCCCTTCTTCAATGATGGTAGAGAGTTTGTAGCCTAACAAGTGGTCGATTTCTTCGATTAGCGGTTTAGCAGTCGTGGGAAAGGCTTCGAGCCATGGTGTGAGCATGCCGACTTTTTGAACTCCTTGGCCTGTTTGAACGTCAGTGATGTACGATCTTGGACCCTGACTCGGCATTGAGTAATGGCACACCTGGAAAGAACAGAGCTGTTCGTGGCCGAGCTTTCTTGCTGGACGCATGCCGTATTTGGCGTACAGGACCGAGAGAGATACCGTGTTGACTCTGACAGCAAGAAGTGCTTCTTGGTATGAGTCCTTTCCGCCGAGGCTGTGAAAGACCGGTTGGGAGACGCTTCATTGTATAGAAGCTGACCTCAAGAGGTCTACACAAGTCTAGAAAGAAGCAGTCCTAATGGGAGTATTGCAAACTCCGGTTTGTCGTGCGTTCACATTTCTTGAGCTGATATATAATGTAGATGATACAAGGCTGTTGATGGCCCGACAAGGTTTAGAGTAGCTGCGGAGTTCGGATTCGGGCTCCCCACATTTCGGGACTTGGGGAACTCTCGGGGTCCAAGCTCGAGTATGCCAAGCGAATGACAACCTATCCTATCCTATTATACAGGCAGATTGTCCATTCTCTACGGGTATATTTGAAGACAGACATTTGTTTTAGAATTCACGTCATCTAACAAAGGCAATGGCATAGATGTAATATAGTCAGTGGTATTCTGTAGTTCTATTTTTTCTACATGTAAGACGCCGACGCCTGCGTCAACCCATAAACTCATATCATAGCCCGTTATAAACGCCATACCATTATTTCTAAGATTCAAGCCAGTCCAGAAATTGCGGCGTAAAGTAGCTCACCACAATCGTCGCACCAGCCCTCAAGATTCCCTCAGTTGACTCAAATGCGATTGCCTTCAAATCAAAAACGCCCGCCTTTGCACCAGCATGAAGCATAGCGAATTCCCCACTAACTTGATAGGCCGCGATAGGCATGTTCTTTCCGATATCCTTTGCATCGCTAATAATATCAAGGTATTGATTGGCAGGTTTGACCATGATTATATCAGCGCCTTCACCAATATCTCTCTCGATTGCTCTCCGCGCAAGACCTCTTCCTCCAGGTGGCAATTGGTAACATTTCCGGTCTCCAAATGATGGAACAGAGCCCGCTGCATCACGGAAAGGTCCGTAAAGACATCCGGAAAACTTGGCTGCATACGACATAAGGACGACTCTGTCTGCAATACCCTCCTCGATCAACTTAAGCTTAATTGCTCGAATGCGGCCATCATTCATGTCTGAAGGCGCAACACAGTGAGCGCCAGCCTGAGCGTATGCAATGGCGACATCAGAAACGCGATCGACTGAAAGTTGGTTGTTGAGACCGCCATCATCCCGCAGAATACCACAGTGACCGTGGGAAGTGTACTCGCATAGACAGACATCGGCAATGATGAAGAGCTGAGGGAACCGCTGTCGCAACAGACGAATAGTAGCAATCACAGGACCTTTTGGATCATCGGCAGCAGTTCCGAGAGCGTCTTTAACGCCGGATTTCATTGGGACACCAAATAGTATGACTGAGCGGAGGCCTTTTCGCACGAGGGGTTCGAGGAAGGGGACGATTTTGTTGATGCCACGGCGGTATTGATCAGGGAGGGAGGGAATAAGAATTTCTTCGTCGTCTTCATCTGAAATGAAAAGAGGGTAGATAAGCATTGACTATGGGGGTGTCAGCGGGAGTCAGATGCGGTGAAGCAGTTCCTTCTACCTTGGTCAGTTGTCTCTCGGCTTGCCATGATCTTGCCAGGGGATGAGAATAGCCTCCATGCAATTGACTCGAGATGTCGCCAGAAATGCTCACACTGGTGGCTGTGGTACTCGCATAGGACATTGCCCTCGAGACATGGGATCTCCGGTCATCGACGGTCGAGGCTGAAGACGTACCGCGAGCCATTTGTCGTCGGTCGTTAGGGTTGTCTCTGAAGGATAGATCTTGTACGAGACTCGAGAAAGACATGATATCTTTTTTTACCTATGCCGTCAGAAGATCTTAGAAGTAGCACTTATTTATGGCCGCGGGAAGTGTCGGGGTCTTATCAAATATCTAGCAAAGTGAGAGTGGAGTGGCGGGAACAATATACGCCGAGGATTTACATCCGAACGGCAGTCGGAGTTTTAGCGTGGAGATGTCGCAAATCAAAGACCTCTCATTGGATAGATGAACCGACTAACTCTCACAACATTTCTAGTGAAAATGAGATGGAAGCTGGACTCTCTACTTGAAAACTATACAGTCTTGTTTCTCCTCTTCAACTCAAGGAATCAGTGGGTTAGACAGCATTTTATTGTGAACTGAGATTGACAGATCACCAGGAGATATTCTATATTTTATCTCGTTGTTATATACAAACATCCCAGGAGGATTCCGGTAACTCTCATCCGCCCTCGTGAATCTTGATTAGCGTGGGCGAGTCTGTCTTCCGCATCCGCACTGTTCTTTATTGTGCCCGTGGAAGCTTGCTGCTCAGGTTCAGAATAGCGGAAAATGTGATAGTAGGCCATTGCGCCCTTGGGGACTCCAGGCGGATTGAATATTGACCACAAAGACTCGAGACGAGAGGCAGCTCGGAAGTGCTTGCCGTAAGGTAGGTACCTAGGGTATGAAATCTATAAGAAGGTCAGATCCCCTCAAATCCTTTACTTCAGACAATGCTATAGGGGATTGCTTCCCATATTGCAACTTAACAGCTCTCAACTTTGGACCTTTGGTCCCTCTGGTAACTATAATCCTAGAACTGCTCGACCTTCTAGAACACAGCTAATATAGTGAAAGCTGTAGCATAATCAAGGCTTGCACTGCTTGATTTCAACAGCCTATCGGGTTGCCTCTATCCTATTCTGAACTCTAGCTTGGATGTCAAGGATTGAATTCTTGTTGCATCCGCGTAGCAGGAGCAAAAAATGCAACGGGATACCCAAGCTCTTTCCTTCTCATTGTAATCAGTCGAGGATATGCAATTGCACCACAGGACATGTGTACAGTGTCAGCTCTCAAGGTTGCCTGAGTCTAGAGACATTCTAAACACAAAGTCTTAAGTTGCGTCTTTCATGCCATGTTCCAAAAAGGGCAAGTAGGAATTTCACAATGGAGTGGTTATTTATTACCCTCAAGGCCATCTTAAATTTATTCACTCTTTGTACCTAGCTTTATTAAGTCTCGGTGTCAACTGCAGTTTCCCCGCATATTAAATTTGCAGAGGTTGTCGCCTTGCCTTGCCTTGCCACGCTTCGCGCTTTCCTTCCTGTTCATCTGCTACCGCCCTCGGATAACAACCCAAATGGATTGAATCTTGTCTTGTCAGGGCCTTGCATAGCTGCAAACTCCCACATGAATAGGACGAGGAACAGGGATCATGGTCACCTACGGGAAGAACAAGAAACGACTTGCTCTCCCGACATTTCGCTCTAGCAAGAATAGGAAACAGACAGCTGCGCAGGCAGGTCAGTCTCTCCACTTATATCCAGGTCATCCAAATGTCCTCGGGAGATCTCTCTCGAGGCCAGCCAACCAGGCGTCATTCTCTACCAATCGAACACGGCATGGCCGCCTCATTTCATGCTTTGCGTGAAGTTGAGCGCCATCAGCTAATGGCCTGCCTTGCAGATACAGTATCGACGACAACTGAATCCCAAAGCAACACACGCCGCGAGACGCGTCTCTCTCCTCAAGATGATAGTATTGACGAAATGGCAAGCATGCTACTAGACGACACTACAATCGACCAATTGAAGGCTGATCCCGGAAAGCGGTTTTCCCAGATCTCCATGCCCGAGGGTCTGCCTGGCTTCTCCCAGAGTGCATCTCAAAATGACAAAGCTCTACCGCGGCTTCCTAGCCTGCTATTCAATGGCGACAATGCGTGGGCTTTCAAGTCTATGCCTGTTATCACAGCCACTGGCAATATCAACGAAATGCATTTTGATCATGCCACGGATGAAAGTGTAAGCCTTCCGAGCGAATCACAGATGGCATCACAAGAACACAATGCTCTATCCCATATTGACACACCATCCATGTCACTTACGCCCCCGATTCCTCGAAAATCCTCCAAGCGGAAGTCGTCCAGGCCAAAGAGTGTATCCGTCCAATTCGGCGAAATTGCGAGGAAGGCTGTATCGAAGAGTGTCAGTACGCCAAACAATCTCACGGCTTTAGCTCAGCACAAATCGTCAAGCCCATTAGACACAAACCATCTCGATGACAGGATTCAGCAAATGCTTGCCGCCACGAATTTACTGAAGGGCGATACTGTAGGGGTGAAATACCATAATCTGTCGGATCCAAAAACCAATCGGACAACCATATTCCTTCCAGGGCCTCCAGAAGGAGCAGTATTGCATGGACCGATGGTTCCGACAAAGAAACGTCTCAGCAACTACAAGGTTATATCTCGCATGAAGACAGTCATCGGAGATCATTTGAATGCAAGATCTCTTAAGAAGCGCCACGATAGCGTGAGGGACGACCGACTGCTTGACAATAGCCTGAACGACTTCCATTCCAATGCATCACCTACTGCCTCAGCCATCTCGTCTTCTGAGATCGGTTTCAACGAACGTAAGCTCATCCAACTGCCTTTAGTATCATAATGCTAATGCTTCTCAAGGCAAGAACCTCAGAACTAAATCAAAGTCCAAACTACTCACAGGATGTCAAGATTTCCCTCGCAAACCTATCCATGAGAATGCACAGCGCCGAAATTTCTTCAATTTGACCAACGATCCGTTCTCCTCACACCCTAGCCTTCTTCCAAGGACGCCAACCGAGTCTGAGCACCTACTAGACTCCATGTTGGCGGACCAGAGTAATGATGTAGGTCCTCATGATCCAAGTAGACCAACAAGCCGATATAACGACTTTGATTCCCTCTTTACCTCCAGCCCAGAAGCTCAATCCACCCCTCGAATTCGGCTGGAGCCTTATTTCGGTGCTGGTGGTAAGACAACACTCGAATATGTCCCCACCGATTCGCGCTCGCTGTTTGATCCTGATAACTCGGAGTATTTTGGACAACATTCTGACATGGATGTGGACTACGGACCGATCAAGAAGGCAAATAACAGAATGTCTCTTACGGACGTGGATAATGATCCAAACAGTGATAGGACAATTGATGCTGCGAAGCGGAAGAGCTCACAATTGAGAGCGCCTAGTTTTGGATTTGAATCGCCACAATTCAAGAGAGCCAAGAAGCACCCGTCTCCAAGCAAGGAAGAGCTAGAGCGCATGCAAAAGGATCTGGAGGGGTATGATGACAATGGTTTTGTACGAGGTCGTGATTACCACCCAGCGCCAATGGGGTCCACTCAGATGGCAAAAATCCCAATTCTGACGGCTGTTGACCCCAATGTCAAAATCAGAGTGAAGGAACCCAAGAAAGGAGAGCTGAGTCGGGCCGCTGAATCGATGCCAAACCTTGCAGGAAGAAAGAGACGTCAAAGCTTGAGGAACGCCTTGATGTCGACTCCCACAAACACCAAAGAGAATGGTGAGAAGAGGTATTCGAAGCCAATATATGCTGAAGTGGACACCGATATGGAAATTGACGAACTGCAGTTAGACGACTCTGCATATAATATTGGAATGGGGAGGTTGTGATTTATACGTATTGAGATTGGCATGGATTTCGACTTTCTCTCGGAGTTCTGTTCAGCACATACCCTAGGACTCCCTTTTACTGTTTTTGATACCCTTTACTTTCCCACTGTCCGATGTCTAATAGTTCGCTATGTCGAACGTTGATTGTTACTATGAGATATACACTGCAAACACGGAAGACAGCACTGGTACGAAATAGATTTAGGTAGTGACAATTAGCATTAGGAACGATAGACAGCTAGCTAGTAATACAATAGATTCAACTCATTTATCTCATTTCGTTCATCGTGGGTATCTTTGACGCTTTCATAATATACAATCTCCCGTTGCACTCCTCCTAATACGTGCGATGGCTTCCTCGTCCATCAGTACCATGCATCCTACGCGTTCCCGCGGCCTTCAACCCCGGCCTCCTCGTCAGACTCCCCCTCAGTTTCATCATGGCCCCACTGACCTTATCCCCCACACTCACACGTCTCTTGTGATGATGCACCGGCTGAGCGGTCCTCGTATTACGACCCCGGGTATGGGTGGTATGAGTTGTGTGGTGCTGGTTGTGGTGGACGTGGTTGTGAGTGGCAGGCTCGACTTTGGTAGTTGTTTTCACGGTGCGGGTATTTGCGTTGCGGCCGCGGAGACGGGTCATGAGAGTTGGTTTTGTGGTGCGGGTTTCGACGACGCGGTTGTGGGCGTGGTGATGCATTTTGAGGGATGGAGTTGAGGTTGGGATTGGGATTGATTTTTGGGCGGTTGCCGAGGGGTCGGTTGGGTATGTGGTTGTTGGTGAGAGGGATAGGGATGTTGTGCTTGAAATTGCCGATATCGATGGGAAGGGGGAGAAGCCCAGGGTGATTGAACTTGAAGTTGTGGCTTGGGTTCCTGGACGTTGCGTATATGTAGATGGGATGTGTGCTGTTGCTGTTGCTGTTGGTGGTGCAGTTTGTGGGGGTAAGGTGTTGTTTAGATGGATGAATGATGATAGTGTTCTGGGAGATAGGTTGGTTTCTGAGACTGACTGGGTGTTGTAGATGGACATGGCAAGATAGGTCTGCGTATGCTTATATAGATGGGAGATTAAAGTAGGGGTCTTGAAAGGCTTCTTAACAGCTAAGTGGTGTACTTGCAAAACCTGGTTTGTGGAGAGAGAGGAAGTTGGTGATATGACGAGATGGGGTGTATATCTTCCATCTGGACCTGATGTCGACTTCAGATCCTAGACTTTGAACGTCATACCTTGCAGCCCCTTCCCTTGCTACCAATAACAGGGACAGGACAGGCATGCTGAGAGTTTGAGACATGAAAGGAATCTCTTGGCTGACGATGATCAGCCACAGGAAAACCTGTGGTGGTGAAAGTTTTGTCTGTGGCTGGAAAGGACCCTGACCTGACAAACTTGTTTGCTAAGCTTTGTTCTGATTGGACAATTTTGATGGCGAATCCTACGTCATTGTAACACGTGATTCAGCTTCTGTCTATTTGAAGATGCAAGATGGGATGATACTGTATGGAGACTATCCGCAGTGAAATTGAATTGAGAGCTTTCGGAGGATTGGCAATAACAAGGCAATGCAGATGAAAGAGATTTGTACTTGAAGGTTTAGCAGTGAGGGAGAATCAATCGCAAGATATGATAGTAAGTTCAACGCAACTGGATGCTTTGGAGTGGAAAACGTACGTCTGAAGAGGGAGAGAGAGAGAGAGAGAGAGAGAGAGAGAGAGAAGAAGAAGGAAAGTGG